TCTGAAAAAATAATAGTTATTTTTTTATCTATTTGAAAAATTTGTTTAATACTAAAAATTTAGTTTAGAATTCATAAGATTGTTCATAATAATTAGAAATTAACTTAAATTTTCTTAAATTTTTATAATTCAGGTTTTTGCAGTAATTATCATGTAAAATATGAATATCTCTTATTTAACTCACAAATAACATATAATAAAATATGTTTTTTATAATAATTTTAGTTAATATTAATACTAAAATATAATTTTACTATTATTAGATTTCTTATCGAAATTATTCTAATAAAATAAGATCTAATTACTGATTTACTTAAAACTAGGATATATAGAATAATAAATTTTGAAAATCTTTATAATATATAATTTTACTAGAATTTATATATAAACTCTATACAAATTCTAATTTGAGTTATAAAAGATTTAAAATCTTACTATAACTAGTTAAAATTGGTAATAAATAAGCATTATAGAATTATAATTAGTTATAATATTATCTTTATATGTGAGTCATCAGCTTATACTTTAATAACTAATATATCAATTACATTTTGCTAAGCAATATTTAAATTGTATATTGATTGGTCTCTAGAAATTATATATAGCTAGTTAACTCTAGTGCCAAAAAATGCTTATTAATTCATTATCTATTAACTTTTTATTATTACTTCTTTTTTTGCAATAATGAATATATACTCATAAAATATACATGTTTAAAAATTAAAATAAAAAACTAATTTTATTATTTTTTTTCGTAAAATCATATATGTATATTAAGAAAAAGATCAAAAGCTAATTAAAAAGCTTAATAATATATATAAATAGATAAAATGTAATTATATAAATAATTTCTAATAAAATAATTATTTAAATTTTTTAAAATTTATTGTATATTAATTATATTAAATAGTTTAAATGTTAGTGATGATAATAGTATAAATAATTCTAATAAAAAATAGTAATAATGATAATATTAATATAAATAAAATTAAATAATTAAGACTATTTTTATTTTTATTACTTTAATATAATAATCTTCATATACTATAATTTAATAAAATTTATTATTTTTAAACTGTAAGTATAAATTTGTTACTAAAACATTTTAGAAAACTTAAAATATTTGATATCTAATGATTATAAAAAGATAAAATAAAATTTTTAGATTTATCATATTATGATATATCTAATAATAGTATTTTAAAATTTTAAAATTAATAATTATTAATATTTATTAATTTTTTAATTTTTAAAAATAATTTATTATCTAATAATTACAAAAATATAAATTTAGTTTATTAGATTTATCACATTAAGACTTATTAAATAGTAGTATTTTTATATTTCTAAGATTAATAAATAGCAAGATACATAAGTTTAAAATTTTAAATTTTTTTATAATAATTTCTTATTAAAAAATCACTAGTTAATTATATATTTTTTTTAATTTTTACTTAGAAATATCATAAAATTTATTATAAAAAAATTAATTTTTTAATAATATATTTTAAAATATTTAAAAATAATTAAAAAGAATTGTAATTAATAAATAAAATTGCCTAAAATTTGTAGGCAAAATAATTGAGGAGATAATACTTAATTTAAAAGAATATATAATTATTAAAGATACTTATTTTTAGAAGTATATAATATATAATATAGAAGATTTTAGAAAAATCAGAATTTTTTAACTAAAATTAAAATCTTTAATCCAATAATATCAAAAACTAAAATGTAATAAAAATTTAGTTTTTATTAAAAAATTTTTAGAATCTGATTATTTTAACAATTTATATATATTTATATATTTATTTATTTATATAATAAATAATTATTTTCTAAAAATATATTAAATATTAATAAATTTATCTTAATTATCTTTTAGATTATTTATTTTAAAATATACTTTAAATTATAATATATTTTAAAAAAGCTTTTTTATAAATTATTATTATTTTAATTTTTTAAATCTTATAAAATTATTTTATTAATAATTTTAAAGTCAAAAATTTAATTAATATAATAAAAAAAATTTGGAAAAATTTTGAAGTTAATTAATTATTATTATAATTTAATAATTTAATATAAAGATTTTAAATTATATTTTTATTTTTATTAGAATATAAAGTTAAAGTTATTTAATAATTATAACAGAACATCCAATAATATTTAAATATTATAGTTAGTTTATAATATAAATCATATTTCAGAACTTATTTAATATAATACCTATTAACTAAAGATAAGTAAGGTTAAATGAATCTAAAAAAAATATTATTAACTATATATTTATAATTTTTAATTTTAAATTAATAAATTAATATAAAGTTTAATTAAGATTATTATATATATAATTATATCAAAATCATATTTTTTAATAAACTTTTAATTATTTATTTTATATCTTATTTTTATTAATTACTTATTATATAGTTTACTTGTGATTACCTAATATAAACTTTTTTTTTTAAAAAAAAAAATATAAATTGTGTAAAAATTATCAAAGAATAAAAAATAAAACTGATATTATTTAAATTAAATTTTTTAAAAAAATATGTTAATTATATAAAGACAAGGTGAATAATTAATTATAATATTTGATTATTTTTGCTCCAATTATTTTGTTTCAATAAAATGATATAAAATTCTTATGCATAATATAATGAAGAAATCTGATTCTGAGAATCATTTGAAATCTAATAACATCGAAAACTAGAATGCAATACAAATTATATATTAACTTTATGAATTTTAAGGATTCTTGATTAATATTCCGAGTTCGTAATGTATTTGACGTTTTACTATAAATTTGAATGTTTTATAATATAAATAAAACATTAAATTATTATAAATTTATTTGTTAGGTTGCCTATTAAGAATTTAAAGAGAAAACAACTCATAAAAACTATGTTGCGGAATTTGAAATCCAATCACGTATACTGTATTTGTGTCACTTATATTTACACGTGAAACAAATACAAATTATTTTTGGCGGCAAATTTTTTAAGTTGCAGAATCAAATCATGATATACGAGAATCATTCTAGACGCATGCTAAAAAAAAGTGTCGGATAAACATTCTTATACAGTAATTAATTACGCACCGGTTGATATTTTCAAAGCAATTTTCTTGATAAAATTATATGAATCAGATCACGTATTTATAATTCAATTTGACGTATTTTTTTTTCCTCTTCTTAAACTTTTATGAATTCTTGACACACGATAATAAGTTTTTTTTTTTATGAAATTTTATTCTTTTTGTGTGTTGTAAACTATTAATCAATTGCAAACTTTGATGACGTACTTTTTATAATTTATTGATATATGGTTTATATGGTTTTAAATTTCTTTTCATTCATTTCTTTTTGGTTTGTGAAAAGCTTAAATCAAAGAAAATTTTCAACTGCATTTTCACATACATGGTTTTCCCATTCCATCACCCAAAATTTGTTTCTTCTTTTAAAAAGAAAAAACATGACTCGTACAAATTGGAAGAAACGAAACGGAAAAATGGTCAATTATTTGGAATAACAATAGAAGGTTATTATTATTTTTTTTTTTTAAGGAAAAAAAAAACTATTAAAACGTGAACTCTTTCGTCACATTCAATTCCTCTTAATCTTTATTTAATTATAGTATGTATGATATATCTATAATGATTTGATGCAATTAAATTATGCTAAAAAATTTTTTTTTTTAGATAAGAAATTTGATTTTTCGGAAAACGAGTCCATAGGAGAGGCAGAGTCGATCGTTAAGTTTATAGATTTTGCACAAGGACATATCCCATTGTCTTTAGACGATAATGACATGTTTATTCATGATCCTTCTATAATAAATGAAATATTATCACCACCACCAGCCGAAGAGATGACGATCTCCACTTTGTTTTTTTCATTGATTCAATCTATTACAAATAACATGCCAAACTTGCCAAGCGATCATATAAATGAAATTGTTGAGGTGGATTTTCCAAAAGAATTATCAGTTTCAACATTTTATCAACTTCTTAGTCAAATGACATTACTTGGTTCTGCAATTTTTCATAAATGTACAATTGTACGATTATTAAGTTTTACTGATTGGAATAGAAAATATTCATTTGCCGACAATAAACCAATTTTGATCTCATCTTTTGACGAAGAGAAAGAATTAAATGAAGTTTTAAAAGAACAATTTATTAATGATGAAGGGGAACCGAAAACTTATGAAACATCTTTAGGGCAACAAACAAATTCGATGACATTAGAAATTGTCGTACAACAACAATATTTAACACCACAAAGCGAATTATTTTCAAAGATATTTCATTATCTTTCAACGACGATATGTCTTCGTCCAATACCTTGTGGTAGACATGTAACAAGAATCATTATTCCTATACCTTCAACTTCCACGATTGAACCGATTTTAACTTGGTTGTATAGTCATGATGATAAAGCATGGATGGATACTATAACATTCAAAAATTTTGAGCAAGTGAGTCACATATAATACGATTCACGAGGAATTGAATTTTTTATTTTATTAGGGAAATTAATTTACCTTATTTAGGTATGCCGGAACGCAATATTTCTTGGGTTAAATGATGAGGCATTCGCTGTATTGGAAAGAGTTTTTCAACAGCTGATAGCAGACAATAAATATTTTACGTGAATTTTAAAATAGAATTCCAATATCCTTTAAAGTTTTTTTAATGTACTTATAAGTTTTGATGTTTAATTTAATTTTAATCTAACAAGGAATCATGAACCGAAAAGGGTAGAGATAATGATTGAGAGAAAGAAATGAAATTGCGTTCAATAGCTTTATGTTTTGTAGTCTTGGCAATTATGGATATGAAATAAATATATATATTTGAAATTATATTTAGAATGAATTTTCAAATCATTTGTAATGTAATAACATTCAAGAACGATTTTTTTTTTTTTTTTTTTTTTTTTAAAACCAATGTTTTTTATCATTTATAACAATAAATATAAATTTAATCGTAACTTTCTAATTTCTCTCAACACCTCCATTAGCAGCAGCCTTACGATTATCTTCAAGATCCTTAGGGGTAACGTAAGTTGACATCCTACCAACGATTTTTAACTTCATTATGTGAATAAGTTTACTAGGAGGGGGCAAGGCAATAGATAGAGAAATACACGTTCTTAATATGGAATCAAAAGCATTACCGATCGGACTATAGTTTAATTCTTCGGTAAAAACAAAAGTAATCAAATAAAGTGTCAAGTAACTTATTGATAATACACCAGTTACGCTCATATACCATGTACCCACTGCCGCCGATTGTGCACTTATATTATTTCTCAATTTGGTCATTGATGACGGCTGTTTAGTATTGTTTAAATGTAACGCTATTACAGGTAAAAATGCATAAAGGAATGAACATGTTGTTGTTATAACTCCTAATAGCAACTATAAAAAAAAAGAAAAAATACATAATATTAGTTTAATACTTTTTATACGTTAAAAAAACAAAATTAATCAATAGAATATACATACCTGACCAATAAATAAAGGAAAATTTGATAAATTACGTTGTTGCCAAAAGATTAAAACAATATCGGCAATATTTACACAATCAAAAATAATCAATTCGATTATTGTGATCTTAAAAAGGGTAGTATTCCAACGATATTTTTCATAAAATTTTCTACCCATATCTAACATACAGACAACTAAAACGGTTGTGTATATGTCCCGGATCGCGGCAAATAATATCCAATATGCTTTCCTCGGTATAAACCATTTGATTGAATCTTGTGCCCAATAGAAATTACTTAAACTCATTATAATTATTGTCGATATTGATAATAAACTGGAGAATTTATGAATGGGAAAGTGTAACCTTTTGTTAGTAATAAATTCAACTTTTCTTGAATTAAATAATTTTTAAAGAAAAAAATTGCTTACCAAGCAAGTCGTAACCTTGTAAAACTTTTAATACATTGGTATAATAAAAATATAAATGCTATAATTGAAAATGCAATACTAAATGTTAAAAAACCGATTTCTATTGTTATGTCCATTATTAAATTATTAATTCTTAATTTTTCTTTTAATGAAAAAAAAAATGAGAGAAAGGAATTATTTCAGGGAAAAAAATAAAAGTGAAAAGCGTATATATGATGGATTCTTAAATCTTTGTAAAAACTAGGAATGGTTTAGTTTTTTAAAAGAATGGTGTTTCTTATTTTTATATATATATTATTTTATTTTATTTATTTATTTATTTTATTTTTTGTTATGTTGTTGCTAATCAGGGTTGTTCCTCTTGTAGGTCTAATTAGAGCAATTTATGAATCCAGTTAAGTTCAATGCCAATCCTATATTGTAAAAGAAAAAATTTTATATTATGTTAGTTATGTAAATATCATATTTAGAATTTGCGCGTTTTATCGCGTAAGAATTTGTGCACAACGCCGAAACTTTAAATTCGCTAAAAAAAAAAAAAAAAAAAAATCCCTTTACTATATATATAATGGTGGAGCACTTTTAAAGCTCTAGAAATATAGAAATATCAAAGGATTCTTATTTTTAAGGCGAAAAGGTTGAAATTAATTTCTAATCCCTTCGAGATTCTATGATAATTTTTTTTTTTTTTTTAGATCTTAAATCTATTAAAGTTCCAATCATTCTCAGAATGTCAAATAAAACACTAAATAACCAAAGGAACCAGAATTCTCTCTCCAAAGTTAATTTCTCGAAATTTCCTTTCAGAAAATCAATATCAAACTTACTTTTTGAATCTTCGCATAAAAAAAAAAGAGTTTTTCAAGAAAGAACACCAAAAGGCAAAAAATTATATAGCTAAACTAATTTACTTATATATATAATATCATGATATAAATTAAAGCATTCACGAATAATAAAAAACAAATAAATTCGAGAAGCTAAATTATGCGTTAAATGTAATACAAAGTAAAATTTCCTGATTTGTTCTTTTAAATCACCAATTATATTGTACTACTTTGAAGCACCAATCCAAGGATCTTAAATGTGTTAATGAAAAATTGAAACGAGTTCTTTGTAACAAACTTTATTTGCTGCGCCATCACCGCTAATCAGATCACCCAGACCCTTTTTTCTTACAAGTTCCCGGTAAAAATTCTCTTTCAACCTTCCTTATCATTGCATCATAATACATCTTTTGCGTAGTAACTGTATATAGAGAAATATTCTATGCGCTTTTTTTTTTTTTTTTTTTTTTTTGATTTATACACGTGGCTTGTTTATTTGTTTGTTCATTCTAAAATAACAAGTGGGAATATTTTTTCAATGTGATTTATATATCAATGGAAAAGGTTATCTTGATTGATAAGGTTCAAACTTTTCGGTTCTCCATTTCCTCCGATTCAGAGCATTGATAAAATTTCCTTTTTTCTGAAAAATCAAAACTTTTAGGTTTCGATAAATCTGTCCTGCCTATAATAAATTCTTTGATTAATTTAGCAATTTAATTAATTTAATTAATTTTAAAACTTTCTAACCTCTTTAAGCTCTTTATAAATGCAAAAATGTATTGGCTCTTATCTAAATCCGATGGGAATAATATTTATGCGTTCATTACAACCATACGTGCGTTGCGTTGAAAATTATCAATGCAAAAGTTTTTGCTGATCAACTCGGTAAAATAAGCTCTGTATAGAAACTAATGTTGGATCAGTGCCCTGAGCAAAGCGGTGCCTCCGAACAACTTACGAATCTAATTTACAGTCAGAACTCGATATAGCGATCCGCGATAAACCCATAACGAACTTATTCTTAAACCAAAACCACTTATAATAAAATTTATCACTATATAGCGATTTTATTATAAATTTCGCGATATTGCA